AAAAAAAAATGATTCAGACATTATAAATGGCATCACCATAAAAAGCATTTAAGAATGTGATAAAATATAATATGGTACAAAAGCCATGTTGCAGTATATGTGAAATCCCATTGGTTAGCATGAGACAATGCCATATACTTGGATCTATTTTTGAGCTTTAATAGGATGTTGCACTAGAGGAAAAACCCAGTGGTGCATTTGGAATTTGATTCCTTGTAAGAATTTGTTTTGATATTATAAAAATACAAAGTTTAATTAATTTATAAATATCTTTTATCAAATTGTGGGAATGCTTGGATGACATCCTATTATGTGAGTCTTTAGTTGACTAATGACAGGTTTAGCTCATTACATATGATTAACAATTTGGTGACAGCTTGTTAATCCTAATTAGTTGCACTTAAGGGATTTAAGGCAGGAGTTGCACTTGGATCTCAACTCCTATAGACCATGAATGTGAAAGTTACAAAATAAATGTGCTCTCTATAAAAGGACGTTAACCCCTCTAGAGAACACATTTATTTTGTAACTCATGGGAAGATCTTGCTCTACATATAGAACTTGCTCTACATAGAGAACAACTTTTCACCTTTATTAGTAGAAGTGATTGCTAAGGGTTACAAGCACCAATAAATAGTTGCTTATTCTACTATTTAAAACTAGTTGATCGCGCTAAGTTAGTTGTATCACTTTATATGGCATTATCCTTTATCTGCGTAGTTGTGCAATGCCCAACAATCGATTTGGATCACTGGGTTTAATGGTTACGGTGTAGTGGATGACGAATGCTCACATGGTGTACCATGTTTTAACACACACCAATGGTGAATGATATACCTACTAAATTTTAAAAGTACATTATCATTAAAGGAATGAGGTGACAATCCATTTTAAATGAGTTTCGAGTCCAAAAGGTGTTCAAGTTCCAACAAACCAACACAACAAAAGCTCCATACGCCAAAAATAAGCTAGCTCTTCTCTCTCTCTCATATGGACTACATATGTAAGACATATGCTTATATGTCCACACCAACAATCAATTTGGATCAATGGGTTTAATGGTTACGGTGTAGTGGATGACGAATGCTCGCATGGTGTACCAAGTTTTAACACACACCAATGGTGAATGATATACCTACTAAATTTTAAAAGTACATTATCATTAAAGGAATGAGGTGACAATCCATTTTAAATGAGTTTCGAGTCCAAAACATGTTCAAGTTCCAACAAACCAACTCAACAAAAGCTCCATACGCCAAAAATAAGCTAGCTCTTCTCTCTCTCATATGGACTAAATATGTAAGACATGCTTATATGTCCACACTTCACATACACAAATAAATGTGAAATGAGTGAGAGAGATGCATCTTTTGGTCCATGCAAGAGAAAGTACCCAATGGATCTAGATTCTAGAGACATTCATTAAAGGCAAAAAATTTTCTATCTAGAAACTATTCAAACCAGTACCAAAAAATAAAAAAAATGATTCAGACATAATAAATGGCACCACCATACAAAGCATTTAAGAATGTGAGAAAATACATAATAAAGTAGAAAAAAAAAGAATATTGTGAAACGTGAGACAAACACAGCCAGAGTAAAAGACCATAATCGAAAGAATCATCAGCGTGATATAAGAAAAGATGTGAACAACTAACATAACCTTAAATCATGTGCATAATTGTAGAAAATATATCACTCGAAAATCGAAATGAAACATTAAGGAAATGTGCGAAACATGCAAGCCTCAAATTTTTGAGGGCAAAAATAAGAAAATCCTAAAAAACTGACTCGCAAATCAACACTAGGGTGTATACACTGATAACAACTGTATATGTTAATATGTTAATGCTAACAAAACCAACATGAGAATCTGAATGACAAACTATCTACATAAGGGACCACTTGATTTTATAATATTGTGAAACACCAAGTTAATTAACGTGGAAAAAGTTGAAGAGAAGCAAGTCATCTTTGGATTCTAAGCACCCTAAGGAGAAAACAAGTTTTAGAATGCAACAAAATTCAAGTTCCAAATGAAACGTGTCCCCTATTTTGCCCATCATCTAACACATCGAACAACTCAATACAATCACAAGAAAATAATTTTCAGCTTCTGGAAAATTTGTCCTTTTGTTGGGTTCAATGATCACAAACATGTACTAAGGTAAATTGGATAGGTTCTTAAGCGTCTATCACATCAACAATGGATATTAGAGAACTCATAGATTATAAAGTGATATTTCATATTTATGGGAAATATCATATGATGGCTCAATAAGTATAGCCACATTATATCATCCGATGAGTGTTTTTTTTTTTTTTGAATGTGTTATCATATATCATCGGATAAGGTTTTAGAGCTTCTTTTTCTACTTCTCAATAAATGAAACTTAACAGTATGGTTCATAGACCAAGTATGCCTTTTAATTGTGCATTTATTGATTGAATGCATGTTGCCCAGACAACCACAATACGGTTGGACATGAAACATAATGTGGTAAAAACCTGCTGCACATGGAGAGCAACTTTGCACCAATCACTTCTAATGGTTTAGAAATGATTACCAGGAAATTACAAGTAGTAGCACTGAGAAATGATTGCTTATTCTATAGTTTAAAACTAGTTAATCTTGCTAAGTAGGTGTATCACTTAGATTATAACTAAATATTGCTATAGAGAAATGATTGCCTATTTTACAGTTTGTCTCTTTCAGGTGCTTATTTAAGAAAGCCCTGGATAACTAACTCACAAATGAACGACCAATACAAAGAATTCTTTTCTTTGTTCATCAAAGAATTCCATTCTTTGCGCAACTTAAACAAGATTT